AGTAATATATTACTGAGAAAAATGTTGACGTGTTCAATACTTACTTTACCCGCTGTATTAGGTGGCGATATACAGCTTTAAATCTGTTGCAAGGAAAATAAGTAGAATCATTTTTGTCCTACTAGTGTTTTAGCACTTTATTCAAGGTCTCATCTCATTTAAGACCTAAGTAGAACTTTTAGTTCTTTTTGTTCTGTTAATGGATTTCCATCAAATACAATTTAAATTGTTTGTACAAAAGAGTTTATTGTAACAAATATTATTTYCATTTCRGCAAACTARTACAAATATTACAAATACAGAAGTGGCATACTCTTCAATAAACACTTTAAACATTGAGTGAAAAATGGATACAAATCTCATCTTCAAGGTGACTGGCACGTCAGCTGAACAGTCTTAGTCATACAGTTTCCATGGCACGGAGCAGAATCATTCACAACACAAGTGTTGCTTATTGTGCAATAGCTGCGCTTAGAACTAACTTTAAAGTCTGTTTCTTAGCACATTATCTTATTTACCACTAGATGAATTATTATGACATTCTTTGAGTAATCACTGGAGGTGCATCTAAAACTGATTATACTCCACCTGATATTCCACGGCCTTCACAGCTAATTGAACTTAGCGAACACATCAATATTATATCAAAGGGCAGATATTATAAGATTTTTTTCTGCTCTCTGCTGCCTTTCATTTAATTTTATTTGTGATTTTGAAATACATATATATGTTTTCTCTCCTTTTTCTTTTTTTAATTTTTCTTTTTAATGTACATTGTGGATAAAATTATATGTTTTGTTTTAATGAAATGAATAAAAATAAATATTTGTAACTTAGTCAATGTTATATTTACTCAATTAAAGACTGGTGTTATTGTTGCTGAGTATCATCCATGATGGATACTCCCAGAAAAGATTAAAACCATGACATGCCATGTGGTTAGCAATATGCATTCCTTTTAGACATGCAGGTTTAATTTATTTAGAATTTGGGTATCTGGTTGTAGCAGTTTCCACTAATAAAAAGAAAAAGTGACCGTGAGGGAAGTCATGAATAATGTATTTGCTTCCCATACACTGCCACTCTATTTTCTCCATGGGAACACGCACTGGCTTTATGGTGTAAATTCCCAGCTGAACACAGACTGTTGAATGTTGAGTGGACATAAATATGAACCTCCTTGCTCCAAATCAATCTAATTATCACATTGTCAAACGTGCAGTGTTGGTAACTGTTGGAATGCCAAAGATGAACTTCAGAATGAAAAACTGAAACTCAGTGGTGATGACCTTTACATTAGAGACCCATCTACTTCGAGTTACCTCTGTCATCAGCTCCTTCGTAAAGCCTAATTATCATACGAAAGCAATTCTAATAGTCAATAACCTTTTCCTGTTTCCTCTGTCGTAAACATAGAGGAAAATGTAACCTTTCTCCGGAAGAATTTTCGCTTTGCTCCAAAGCGCTACCTGAAAATGCGAGCATTCTTTAAAGCAATGATGGCAATCAAAACCCCATGTGTGACACATGTTGATGGAACTGTCACTTTCTCTGATGACGCTGGTGACAGTCTTAGCATCCAGTGACATTTATGTCAGTCTAGTGAAAGGATAGATGAGCTGATTTTTTTTTTCAGACAGTTGTGGCTGCAAGATGTCCTCATACGGCAATGAATTTTACTTACGGATTGTGCAGCAGATGGTGTTGAATTTCTTAGATTCGGGGCTGAGCAGTGGTTTATGCATGTGTGTGTACAAGTAGGCACGAACCAAATTTATGTACATTTGCTATAGGTGCTGAGTACATGTGCAGTGATCACAGTGTATGGAATAATCACCATCTGGCATCCAAAAGGCACGGCTTTTCTCTATTTGCATTTTTGAGTGTGTTGCTGCTTAAAAACAAAACCTTCTATTTTTCAGCTAAGAGGTCCATCATTGCCATTTTTACAGAAATGCACTGTTTGAAGCTAAAGGAAAAAAATATCACAAACACTAACACTAGAGTTGTTTCTCACCTCTGAAGGTAATGTCAAGTTGACAGTTGTACTAAAACATTTTTTAAAAGAAAATTGTAAGAGCATGAGTGATTGGATTTATTCCAGATATGGACCGTTTCTGCAGCAATAAGAGTTTCCAAAATAAAACGATGATTGGAACAACCAACCCACGTTCTGCTCTTGGGTGAAAAGCTAAAGTGAGTAATCTAAAATGAAAGGTTTTCTTGTAAGAATGGGTAAGCCTCAAGGAAGGACAGCTATCACATAAATCGCCCCAAATCTTTCCTGGAGTGCTCTGATTTCTGTCTGGAAGCACACACYACCACAAATTAAGTCAGGACAGACTTCAAGACTTTGATGATCTGTCAGAATACCTGAACTCACAGACGCAGCACTGGGTATAGCTGTGTAATTAGTGCCCAGCTTGGATGGAGAAATCAACCTCAGTCATCTTAGACTCCAGTGGTTAGCTGCTGCAGCT